ATGAAACGGAACATAGGAAGTTCAAATAAAAAGTTAATATGTGGCTAAAATGGTGTTTATCCAACTTTTTGCATAATAGACTATTTTCATATCAGCCCAAGTAGTAGGCACATCGGATGATATTAGGGTTGTTCAGCGTTAATTTAGAAATATAAATTTTTCAATATAAATCAAAATTTCGGATCGAACACCCAATATTTTTTGGTGGGAACAAGTAGATAATAAAAAGCTATAAAGGAAGATATTCTGAAGAATTGATTAAGTCAAAATGACTACATTGCCATTTATTAACCAATGCCAACCTACAAAATAATTACAAACAAAAATAATAAATCATATGGCCAACGTTGGTAGACATTAAACGGAGGGATAATTTTGTACAATATTTTCATATTAGAATTTACCCCTTTCATTTTGCGGACGATTATTTTAAATCATTTTCCAGTCGTGGTTAAATGGATACTGTTCATTATCTAGCAAATATTAGTTAGTTCAAATTATTAGACACAATTCTGATGGAAAGTTTTATTCATGTTAGTCGTAAATGCATTTAGAAAAAATTGAGAAAAAATCCCGGCAATCTTCATAATATTAATGTTTTAAAGAGAAATCCAGATTTGTTGCAATTACATGTAGTTCGTTTAAGTGATTCATTGCTAAAGAATTCTTACCATTTTCAGTTGTAGTAAGATTTTTACCAGTACTTTACCTATTGTTCGTTAAAGGTAAAGGTTACGTTAAACGTAAACAGACACAAGTTTCTCAAGAGAGACACAAATTAAAAGTTTATAGTTCAAGGTCACACAGATTACAAGACACGGTAAATGCCAAGATCGATTAATTATTTTGAAGATACGCCGGCCTCGAAAATATGTGCGCGGGCATGAAACAAAGTCAACTAAATTTTACAATAAATAAATATGATATAAAAAATATATCAAATCTCAAGTCATGCTGGTGTGACCGATGCAGTTCTGGGTAACTTTTTTCCTCTCTCTTTTAATATTAACTATCTTTTCAAATATAAAGTTATATGTATATGGAGTCGCCAAAATAATGTTTTTCTTACAATATCTGAAATTCCTGCATAAATTTGGATTCAAAACAGGTTCGACTATCGGGTACTGCTATATTTACGACGGTATTTCGTAGGTAGACTATTAATTTGAGTAATTTGCATAAAAAATAGAAAGTTGAAATGAAAACAAACACCAAATGACACCAGTTAAACTTCAATTAATCTTATCGAGTTAAATAAAATTATATTCGCCGTCGATTTACTTTAAGGGGGTAGTTGTAATCTAAAATGTCAACATACAAGACAATAACGGCTTGAAGAGATAAAAAGTTCTGAAAAGTCAATTTTATTTTACTTAAAAATGCTGTCAAATTTATTATTCGTTTTTAACTTGTTGACCTTAAAACAAATACAATTTGCATATCTGCAGTACTTGTACATGTGGGGCATATAATCTATTTTTTAAAATATTCTCGAAGGTCAACAGTAACTCTCTCGCGAAATTATTTAAAAAACAAAACAAGGTCTATCAAATTCACGTAGAATAAATATTTGCAAAATATTTATCTTCCTGACGTCTCGGTTAAATTTTGATTCTAAAACTACCAAACCGTACTCTTTCAAAAGCCTAGGCTTCATTAAAATAATAACTGACAAAAATGGAAGGTATAGATATTAATATATTGGTACGTCCTTGCTTGTGAGGGCAAGGAAACCAATGCAAAAGATGATGGATATTGGTCAAACAATTCAATATAGTCATTTAGTTTGTAAACAGGGTCTATGTCATCCCAAAATGTTTGGAGAGTTGAAGGCAATAATTCGGACAGAGATACTTTTAATTCAGATAGAAATTTTGCAGTATTCCCACATTTACTCCAAAATTTATATCTTTTTAGTTTTAGTATCGATGTGTTTGTGCCAAAAGCGCATTTTGTAAAACTAGCACAAATTGTAATTTAAAAGAATTATTTATTTAAAAAAAAATGTACGATTATTTTTTGAAAGTGATTGAGGTCACTGGAACGAGTGTGCTTTATCTTCAACTCCGGTTTTTACAATATATCACTAAGCAAAATTTTTATACAAACAAAGTAAACTTTACAAATAAAAATAACGTTTATACATCTGACATGCATCCTCGATTTAAGAGTAACTGAATGAGTTGAATTAACTAGCCATATCATAAAAAATTGTCCCCTGAATTAGTTGGGCATGGGCTTCATTGGATTTAAGCAGATTTTTCCATTAAATGTGTAGTTTGACAATAACAGAGAACTCCAGGAATTTGGAGTAAATCTGTTACCTACTTTATTAAATTGAACACCTTGTATTTATTGTTAATTAATAATATTATATAAAGAATTTTCCTAAAGATTAGCGATTATATCATAAACATTCAATTATATTTCATTCATATATTTTTAAATAGTTGGCTTTGGAAATAACGTACTAACTTACAGATTTTATTTTGACTAGTAACAGCTTTATAAAAGGACAACAAGATGTTATTACACTTTACATATTAAATTATTTTTTTATTGAGCTGGAAATCCACTTTGCAAAATAACATCAGAAATAACCAGTGCCAATTCAGCACAGGGACATTTTCGCCCATCAGACAATAACTCAAACCACTCCAGAGCAATATAATAAATTAAAACTTATTAAATCTTGTTCAAACAGTTAATTAACATTTATTATTTACTTTCAACTCTTGGTTCCTAGCACAAGATTATGTAAAATTTTATGCATTTTTAATCCTTTGCTGTTTTGCTGTTTTTATATTACAAATATGTTTAGCAAAATCAAATAGCTCTTTGGCTTCTTCGCCAAACTGATGAGACCCAAAATGGTCGCAAGCTACCGTTACGTAATGGGGAATCACAAAACAACACTAGGTATTGGTGAATCCTTAGTTAGAACCCAGTCTCACTAGCGCAAAATCGAATGCAAAGGCTAAAAGCAAAAGACATAGCCAAAAGCAAAAGGCACCTCATAAAGTGAAACGTTTCCATGACTAGAAAATAGTCAAGTTTGGATGGCTTTCAACTTCAATTAGTCTCTTCAATCAGGGAGAGAACACTGAGACAAGGCATTGAGTTTCTAGTTAAATTAATCAAATTTGAATTAAAAAATCAGAAATTTTCCACGAAATTTGTTGTTTGAACGAGATTTCTCTAATGAGACTCTGCAAATGCTCGAACCCGGTACAACTGCCCTGGAATTGGCTACTTTGTCAAACCGATGGGACTCAGCAAAGTTGAAAGCTACCGTTTTGCAATGGTTTAGGTTTAAGTTTAACCTTTAGGAATTCGGTTCATCGCTCGGCTTGGCACTCCAAATATGTTATTTTAGGCGTTAGTTGAAGATGAGCACTTGAGTTCTCGAAACATGTACTGACGTCTTAATGCGATTTCTATAAAAAAAATTGGCTTTGAGAAGGACAAGGTGGTTTCTTTTCACTTTTGAGTTTACTACTACTTTCAACCCAGTATAAACTGCCTTCACTGCTTTCAAATATAAATCCTTACCATTCCTAACGATATCCTTAATATCCTCCTAGCCTCGACTCTCAGATGTTATATACTATTCCTAAAACTCAAACGAAAATGAAAAACAAATATATATTTCACTATTAGTATGCAGTTGGGATCCATTACTTAAATAATATTGTCAAGGTGTTTATAAAATTACATATGAAAGCACTGATTTTTTAAATTCTTTATACAATTCCGTAAAAAAAGATATAGTTCAAGAAACACAAAAAATATAATCAATAACTCTGAGCTCTGACCCTAATTTTTATCATGAATGCAGCACTAACCCTACAACCGGGCTGTACGTAAACGCGTCTAAATCAATATTACTACCTCCTATGCCAGCTACATTTAAGACCAAAAATACCCAATATACTCTCGCATAATAATAATAAAATCTATAACGTAGCAGTGATTTCATTTCGTTTGTTTTGAATAATAACGCAAGATCAATCAAATTTTTACCTCCAAACGTCGTATACAGTTAACGTTGGAGTACTTCAAGGTTTTAAGAATAGCTCTGGGCATGGTCGAAATAGATATATATTGTGTCTTGGGCAAGGTTTTCGCCTACTTTTGGGGCCACGTAAAAATCAATTTTATAATCATAATTTGTTTTCAATTTTTGGTGTTACGATACAACTACCTGCCAAGCAATAGCTATGGCTTACAAGGAAAATATCGGAATATAAATATAACACAAAGATAAACAGATAAAGTTGGTGTTATCTAAAAATTTTAAGTATAAAATTTGTTTGTTTGCATCTCTCTGTTTGTCTTTCAGCTTTGAATATGTAATTGGTCGGTAAATTTTGAACACATCAGCGATAAATAATTTTTCTCTGCATTTATCATACAGGTGATTTGTAAGTGGTTATAAAAGCGATTGAAATCGCAAGAAACCGGATAGTACGATGTTAGCCATTTTCTATTGTTCTCGTGATGATATGTAAGTATTCTGCATGCTGAATTAATTATTTCGTTGTATATAACAAAGACGATCGTCAAATGAATATTAAAAAAATATTAAAGGTGCTGGTTATTTGGCAAACTGCCCTGGAATTGTCAATCCTCAAAACTATTCTCGAAACTGACGGAACAATAACTTTAACTGAGTGGTAAAAAAACAATTATTTTCTTGTAAGTACTTGTAACAATATTTTTGTGTTGTTGAGTGAGTTCATAAGCGGACTTTAAAGTTATTAGACTAAATACACAATTTTAAACGATTTATCTTTTGTTGGCAATAAGCAATTTCCTGAATTGTAAACCGTTTGACATTGAGTGGTTTTATTTTCTTTCTAAATATCCCATAACAAGGAAGAAATAAAATAATAGAGACGAGTTGTTGAAGTACTAAATGCCAGTACATACATTTAACTCGAGTTAAAGCAGTAATTATTAAGATCTACTCGATTCTAAAATAGAAATATCTGCCTTACCTTTCGGGAAATTTGTTGACGGGCGACACGGATGGGGTAACGACGGGTCTGAAAAGAACAAATTTTGGTTATTCAATTGTGAGCATCATACGTTCTCTTAGGTGTTGATTATTTTTTTGATACAATTTTCAAAAGCAATTGGATGAGCCTTATATCGTAAATTTCTAATAATTCCTCAGGGAACTGCAGTATATAATGTATTCTAACGGTTATCTAAACGCAGCGCTAAAATCAAATTAACGACGTGATTTTAAGCAGCAAGCAAACATATCACTTGCATGTCAACTAAAACGATCGAAACAGGTATTAAAACAAAAATAGTTAAACGGCGGTTGGCTATGTCTATAATTTCATTTCCCCGCCTCATACGCCGGTTGGTAATTTAGGAAATTAAACCGACTTCAAAACTTAAATCAAAATAACAAGCTCGAGTGGTTCTAATATGGAGACAGATGTCTGAATTTTCTACAACGAACGGCGATTTATGTTTCGATGTGTAATTTGTTACAATTTATATGTCGTTTGTCATGTTTTAGACAAAAACGCGCATACCAGCCGAAGTCAGGTTACGGAAACTTGATCCATATCCTATCCTGATCGTCATAAAATTTTATTTTGAAAATTAAATTGAATTGAAAATTGAATCTTTTAGGGATCACATATGGGATTCACTATTTTCTTTTCTGAAATTTTAACAGTTTATTTGACAATGAGAAGAAACTGTGTTTTTATTTACTACGTACGTACGTAGTACGTACATCATTCGGTTTTTAATCTGACTCTCATAAATGAATGATTTTTCGAAACTCCCGGAAAAGTAAAATTTGCCATGATACATGAGCCAGTAGAAAAGCTAAATTAAAATCTGTTGTTTATAGTAGTAGATGACGTTAGTAATACGACTAAATGAATTATACGCAGTTATAATAAAATGTTTGCTTGAAATGATCTTCAAACATTAAGTTAGTTTGTGTTAAAAAAATAAATGAATAAGAACTAAAAGTTCAGATTTTCACGAAATTATATATTTTCACATGACAATTGTTTCGACAACACCGTTTCTTTATCAAATGTTTGTTTGTGTTACAAACTTATATATTTCCTGTATTGTTATTTTGTCCAATCGCGGTAAAGAATAACATACATAAATAATAATAAAATGATCACCCAATGCTTGTTCCTAGGTTTAAAATTACTCATTTATTAATTTTGAAAAAAGAAAAATTATCTTGAATTTTTTAATTGCTTCCGAAACATCACCAATTACTCCAAGATCAGTTTTGAAATGTAGCTATTTATAGTTCATTTTTCTATTTTTAGGATGCTCGTTTTATTTGTGACAATCTAGTTGTAGTTGTAAATGATCTAAGAATAATGCTAACAGAAAAATAGAAATTGAAATTTGGCAATTGGCAAATGATGTTGAAAATGGTGAATTATCAGACCAGTTTAAGCCATTGAGACGACAAGCAACGATCGAAACAGAATCTTGATTGTCAAACAATGACAAAAAATATTTAGTCTAATATTGCAAAATTTCCTTTTAATTTAAAAATAAACATAGAGGCTATTTCTTAACTGATGGAAGGAAGATTTAATAAGCAATTAGGTACTCCGTCTTCATCTCGCAATTTTTAGTTAATAGGCAAATTGTACAGGTGTTGCGAATTGCGGGGCACATGCGAAGGAAATTTTTTAAAGATGTCCTGCTTTTACTAGGCGCGAATTGGTTCGCTGTGAAGTTTTAAAATCATTTTATGTATTACTTAAATTACCTACAATAAAAATTCAAACGAATTCAATATAAAATAAACATTATAGCAAACAAAAATCGCATAACACGACCACATCAAAAGGTTTTTATCGCAGCGGAGCCCTTTTGCAATTAGATGGCAGCATCTCCGGGGATGAAAGAAAATCATTTTATTTTATAAGCAACGGAAGCAAATGTAATAAGATCTTTTAAACTGTTCCTTTCGGTGCCGCAACGTAAGCAGCACCTTATGTGTGTCGGATAGTTTGCTATATAGATATCTTTTCTTAAAGATTCAGATGCCCAGTGTAACTCAGATCTGCCGTTGAAACACTCCCCATAAATTCACCTTCTTATCTAGTGAGTCGAAGTCAAAGACAGCACAGCAATGATTTGACAGAGATAATGCTCAGGAGTTCCAGAGGACATCTAAATACTGGTGCAATCTGTTACACCAATGGGAAAATTGCAATGGCAACTCATTAATTACGAATCATCGCAAGGTTGCTCGCGGTTTAATCTCTGGTTTAATTGCCCTGATCGAAAAGTTATCAAGTTATTACTAAATTAATAATTAATTAAAATAATTATTCAAATTGCTAATGACCATTTTTCGTCTCCAAACCAAATGACTAGGTGCAATTTGATGAGCGATGATCGCGATCGGCCATTCGTAGTCATTTATCCACAGCACGCTACGATCACACGCGCTATTAAGTAATTCTTAATATTAATAATGAGGAACGTATTGCATGTTCCAGTCGAGCTCTGTGACTGGCGTGATAATGGTCACGAACACGACAATGTCATTACGTCGATTTTTGCAAACGCAAGCGCTTAGCTTTGTTTGTTTATTCTACGCAGCCTGTTATTGTCGGAACGGAATTCCGCCATTTTGTGATTGCGCTGTTTATTCTACTAAGAAGTACCGGTTACCAATTAGAAGATTTTTTTTTATTGTCTATGCCAAAGTTAAGTTTTGCACTATAGGCTGAAGTGCACTGGCCAGATGTTTTTCCAGCTTGCATAATGGTGAGTTAAAGGCGCTTACGATTGGACGCAGGGGAACCCCGTCCTTATGGATCTTTGCAGCAATAGAGAAGGCAAATCTGAAGCCAAAACTATGGACAAGATACGTTGATGACGTATTTGTTGTATGGCCTTTTGGCAAGGAGGAGCTTTTGAAATTCCTAGATCATCTGAATTCCATTCACCCAAGGATTCAATTTACAATAGAACTTGAAGAGGATAACAGTCTGCCCTTTTTAGATGTGCACATCACAAGGACCGAAGATGGACACTTGGAACACACTGTCTATAGAAAACCAACACACACTAATAGATATCTGAACGCTAAATCTCATCACCACCCATCACAGATACAGGCAGTGGCAAATACATTAATTGCTCGGTCCTTCAGGCTCACAAACGAGAGGAACAGAGATAAAGAACTGAAGAAAATTAGTACCTGTCTTCAACAAAACGGATACCAAAGGCGCACCATCAGCAAGGCAATCGGTAAACAACAACAGCCGCAGCAGAGAGTGCAGGACGAGACCCAACGAAGATCGATCGCTGTCCTGCCATACATCAAGGGGGTTACTGACAAAATCGGCCGAATATTACGGAAACACGACATATCAACGGCATACAAACCTGACCATACCATCGGAGCAATACTAAGAAACCCAAAACAAAAAATTACTCTGGAAAACCAAGGAGTATACAGTGTAGCATGCGGATCGTGCAGCCTGACGTATGTGGGACAGACCAACAGAAGGATTTCAGCCAGGCTCGAGGAACATCGTTTAGCCATAAGAAACAAACAAACAACATCTGCTTTGTTTCAGCACCAACATCAGACAGGCCATAAAATTGATTTCGGCACTTGCAAACAAATAGCTAATATTCCTGATTTTAGGACTAGGATTATACGAGAGGCCATCGAAATAGAAAAGTCCGGACACCTCAATACGAGAGACGACGCTCTGCATTTATCCAACACGTGGAGAACGATAATCAAACAGCAGAGTGATGCGCAGCAGCCAACGGGAACATCGCAACTACGATCGGGCGAAATTAACAACGCGACAATTCAGGGGGCGGAGCCACCTCCCCCCACGCACAAGCAGCACCGTTACCATCTCCGGCGCAGAGTATAAATACCGCACGCACCGCCGATAACCTCCCAGTGTTCGAAGTGTTTTCGGAGCGCGAGCATTGAAGATGCCAAGTGAGATTTTGGCGAAACGTCTGCAGGATTCCAGTCGGATGCAAGATTTGCAGGATTCCAGTCGGATGCAAGATTTGCAGGATTCCAGTCGGATGCAGGATTCCAGTCGGAGTTCAACGAGCGAACCGATGATATCCCGGAATATAGTGTCATCACATTTTTCCATCCGTGAATCAATACGTGAGAATATATATATATATATATATATATATATATATATATATATATATATATATATATATATATATATATATATATATATATATATATATATATATATATATATATATATATATATATATATATAGAGGGAGCAATAAAAGATGTAAATGCTCATTGAATAGTGGCTTTTTATTGTTAAGTCAAGCTTTCACCCAAGTGTTCAGGATTCCTCAGGACACTGAAATGTAAAAGGGAAACACTCTAAAACAAAAACAAGAAAAACACACGTCAATACATACAACAATTTGCCATCAATTAAACTCTAACAAATAGAGAACCACGTGTTAGCCATTAGTAAAGGCTGCACAGATTAAAATAGTAAAACAAAGGAAACTTATGCCTAGGCAACTAACAAATTAATATGTAAAATAACCGGAAATGACAAAGACACAACAATAATGCAACTCAATTGGATTCTGCCGGAGATAATCCGCTCAACGGCATTTAAAAAGAAAAAAAAGACATCTTGACAGTTGGGAAAATGGTCACACACATATAAAGAAAACTTGACAGACCAAAGAATCACCACTTTACAAAACCAAGGCAAAAAAAACCCACCAGCGACTATTAACATCGAACTTACGTGAAAAACCACCACGGTGCAAAAAGTATTCGACTAGATCACAGACCCACAAAATTTCACACCTAAACCAACACTACAGGACTTTTCTTCAATAGCAGTCTGGGAGTTTCAGTTTTTTTAATAAATGTTTGATGTAATAAATAAGGATAAATACTGCTCAATACATCTCTTTTATGGTTAATACAGTTGGTACACTGATGAATATAGCACATTTCTAGGAACCTACGTTTATAGGCATTTTTTTCCGTATCTAGGAA